TATTATAATGAAAATCATGTGATCGACAAAACTCGAGTTCCATTGGGTTCGGTTCCAAACAGGGTCGAACTGAGTTCTGGCAAACAGGATAACATCACTATCTGTAATATACTGATCTGCCACCCATGCCATGCTTAATATCATTTCGGCACAGGATATATTTGATCGTGAAAAATTCATTCATTACGCGCACGAATATGCAATGTCCGATTCTGTGCAACAATCCAATTTTTTTAAAGGGATGTTATGCAGTCTATTCTAAATTGATAAACCACAGTTAGTCTTAAATTCGGTTTAAACCAGAAAAAAAATCTGCTTTCAGTTTTAAGACCAGTTAATTTTTAACACTTTGAACTATTAAAAGTGGACTAAAGTGATTAGATTGGACCAGTGTTCAAAATTTAAGGCACAAATACTGTTCTCATGAGAACAGCATAATAGCTATAAGTGTTCTCAAATATTGTTTTATGTTCACAAATAACCACACAAATTAAAAAAAAAAAACAAAAAAAACTATAATAGAAAATACATTATAGTAAGAATTGGGACTGTTTAACTGCGTAAAGATTGTTTTATAATTCCAACATGAATTACATTGAACTTAATGTCAGCAATTAGCATGGTTAAACGGTTAATCGATTAGAAAAATTTCAGGTGGTTCCAATTCCTATATTATAGATGAGAACACTCTTATTATTTTACTGTTCGCAATTAAAAAATTTGTACTGTGCACAAATTCATAATGGTGTTCTCATGTGAACTCTGAGAACACTAATTTCGACCACTGGATTGGACCAGGCAGGATTATTAGCATCCCTAAAGTTTAGTTTGCTCTGATCTCTGATAACGATTAAACCAGTTCATTAATATTTTAATTCTAACCTTGGTTCAGTCTTACTTTCAAAACAATTATGCAGCATTAATTGCATTAGAATTAAGAACGATGCGTAGGCCAGTAGAATTATGTAAATTAAAGTTGGAGGATATAAAATTTAATGGAAATTTATGTTGGATACGAATATGTAATTCAAAAACAGATCAGTTTCCAAATGGGAAATTTATCCCTATTGAGATTTCTAATAGTCGTTGTTGTCCAGTTAGATTACTTAAAAAATATTTATTGATCAGGCTGAAAACCCAGAAAAATTGGCCATTATTTTTGTCAAACAGGAAAAGAAAATGATGGTTGGAACTATTGGAGCTATTGTGAAAATGGTGGCTGAGAATGCACAGTTATCAGGACGATATACAGCACATAGTATTAGAATCATTGGAGCTACAGCAGCAATGGAGTCAGGCCTATTATTAACTCAGATTCGTGCAATTGGAGGTTGGGACAGTAAAGCAGTTATGTTGTACTTACGATCAATAGGTACAACACAGATGAAGGTGTCAATGAGAATGGGATTTTAGAAGATAATAATAATAATAATAATAATAATGTTGGCAGTAGAAAGTTTTGGCTATTAATCCGATCCTTTTCTTGTTCCCATATGTTTATTCCCAATGTACAATTTATAATATGTGCATAAATAAAGTTGTGTGAATAATCGAGCAATAATAATGACTGGCTTGTCAACGAAGTGACAAGGCCAGTATATATCGGGAAGGTCATGTAAAGACTTATGATATAATGGAATTCTTTGTAAAAATGAATTTGTATGAAAATTCCCGTAAAGGAAAGATTTGATTTTTAAATAGAGATCGTTTGTTAGTATGGATCTTCTTCTTTGGTTTCGCTATTGCTCGCCTTATTAATAGGCTAGCTTTCTCATCCCACCCACGCCTCCCAAAAATATAAATATAGAGCTGGAAGCTTCAATTGGGTAAATCAGTTCTGTAACCATTGTAATAAGAATTTGGGTCATGGACTATAGAAATAGCTCTGTAACCATTGTAATAAGAATTTGGGTCATGGACTATAGAAATAGCTCTGTGACCGTTGTAGTAGCAGCTCTGTGACCATTGTAGTAATTGTGGATCACGGACTGTAATATCAGTTCTGTGACCATTATAGTAAGTTATGGCTCACAGACTGCAGCAACAGCTCTGTGACCATTGGTTGTTTGTAATTAAATGAATCGTGGCTCAAGACTGTATTTGCAGCTCAATGACCACTTGATAGAGGAAACTCCATGACTAATTGGTAGTATTGTTGGAGTTATATGTGAATATGCATGTGAATATATATAAATATGCAAAACCCCCCAAAAGAACGGTGAGTTGTATAGTCCCGTTAATAAGCATCAAATATGAACTGCATACAACTAACGATCCTCTTTATTTGCTATACGAGCAATAATATGCCGGCAAAATGTGCATGAAGAATGGTACAGATGGTCGATTTATGGGTTTTAACTTGATTTTTGAAGTGATGTTGTTTGGAAGCAGATTTAGGTACTTCTGCAAATGAAAGGTTTACTTGACTAAGTTGCTGTCAAGAGAATGCTAACAAAATGCCATGTTATGGCGAAGCGAACCATATTCCCATATGTTTATTCCCAATGTACAATTTATAATATGTGCATAAATAAAGTTGTGTGAATAATCGAGCAATAATAATAACCATTTTGACTTGATATATTCCGCCAAAATTGTCCAAGTCTGCAAAATTTGAATATACTGTCTTCAGCCGATTATAATTAGTTTTTTTTTTTTTTAAATAAATGTTACTGAAAGTTTAAAGTGTTGCATCCCAAAAGCATTCTCGCCGATGATGCTACAATTCATATCGATTCCGCACCATAACAGTATTTGTTTCAAATCTAGTTCTCAATTTAAAATTCAATCTGTGAAAAATGCAGTTATTATTGCTTAATTAGATGACAGATAACTTGATTAAAATACAATGAAAAGATATAGAAATTTGTTTGCTATCGTTACAGGCTCTATCTCCTATAACTAGAATATTACATATTCAAAGAAAGCAACACTATTCGAACTAACACGCTATAAACCCACTCTTAACATATTAAATTATTACACCTATAAAAACTTATAATCTCTAACCAAACTATAATGCTAAGCATACGGGAACAGTCGCCGAGAAGAGATTCATGTAGTTTCAAAAAGAATCGATTATGTAGTCATTCATGAAGTGATAGAGCTGCTGCTAAGTTTAACAAAAAGGCCGTTGCAGCTGCGAAACCCAAAACTTATCTTACGAAAGCCTTTGTATTGATACTATATCTGCGGAGCCTAATTACCACCAAACGAGGTCCTTGCACTACCACTACAACCGCGTAACCTAACTACCACCAAGCGAGATTCTTACACTGCTACTTCAGCCGTGGAACTTGACGTTGCTTACCATTCCATTTAACTTATTCAACAAAGTGCGAATATAACCTTTCACTACTGAATAACAACCTTTAAATGCATTGATTATCAAAACCGATTTTTTTGTCAAGCTCTTCATTAAAATTTTATTTTATTTTTTTTTTTTCAAAAAAAAGCCGGTAATGGGCTAGAAATGAACTAGGCATTCGCACTTGAGATTATATGTATTCACAACTTAGATACACAAATCTGGTGAAGTTGAATGTGAAAAATCAAATCTGCACTCACGCCCTTACACAATATTACACCCAATCATTTGTAACATCATTTAATTGCTATATAACCATATGTTTCGTGTTATTCATCACTCCGTTCCTAGTATTAAGGTCTTGAATATATAATTGATAGACTATATTTATCTAAATCAATATTATCATACATAATAAAAAATTTCTTATATGTATACTTTATGATCAATTAATTGATTCTACGTAATAATGTTAGGTTACAAACTAATCTTAGTATTGTTATTAATTTTTCTTTTTCCTTGAACCATTACTAGTTCATGAATATAAAACACGACTAAATATATCCTCCAAAGACTTATTATCAAAGAAAATTTTATCAGGGTCGTACTTTTCACGTACTTTCTCAAATTGCTTAATTTGATCTGATAAAAGATCAGAATAATAAGATTCCACATTTGCAGCATTTTCCCATTGTTTTCCCCAATGAAGTCTATAGTAAATAAGTTCATACAATTAATTAATGAAATTTTGTTGTAAAAAAAAAAAAATGATAATTCTTACTTTGCTTTGTATTTATCAAAAAATCTCTGCGTTATAAATAGTATAAATTCATTCCATCCAGGAGTACCAAAAACTGAACCAAAATTTAAATAACAATATAAAGTTTTTGGATCATGATTGAAAGTATTAGATAATAGTGCTTCGGAGGATTTTATGAATCGAAAGACTACAGAACGATTTATTGGAAATTTTCCTTTTCTTGCAAATTCATATATCTACAAAATATAATAAGGTTATTATAAAGAGCAATGAAAATAAACTTACAGAATATTAGAATTATAGAATATTAGATAAACTCACTTTTTGAATTAAATGATAAAGTTCGGCAACGATATTAGAAAAATCTGGGTCAACTTTGAATCCAATTTCAATCACTTCTGACTTGAGGTATTCCTCGCCAAATGCGTAATGGATAGCATCAGGAGCTTGTAATACAGAACTAGTATTGCCGTTACTAGTAACACTTTTCCATATTGTGGCAGTAATATTCGGAGTTGCCTCAGGGTTTTGCAAGAGACTACTTAAGAGCTCATACTGTTTAATATAATCCTGTATTTGAGTTTCACGTAATTGTTTTATCTGTTGTTCTGTGAAGCTCACAGATTCATCAGTTCGTACCCAATTCTTAACCCAAATTAGATCTCTATTAGGATCAAGAGGATTCGGATCACTCGGATTGAATCCACTGAATTGCAAATACATAAGTTGAATACCATCTGATGAATCTAAAAGATTTTTAATAGTTTGTGGATTAAGCCATTCGTATACTGGAACATGAATGTCAGTCATACGAAGATTGTACATTGGTTGTACACGGAAAGTCAATGAATACATTATACCAAGTAAACCTAAACGAAAATAAAGTTAGGTTAGTGAAAGAAAAGTAATAATCAAAAGTAAAAAGCTTAATAGATACCTAAATTGACTTTCGCAGCATTGAATTCTGATTTGCTTATTTCTTCGCTAAATTCATATACTTCACCAGACCCAGTGACGATTTTCATAGAATGAAGTTGATCTGGCATAATACCTGAACTGGTCTTTGCACCATGTGCTCCTGTTGCGATAACACCAGATACTCGGAATATGTCAGGTAAAACCTCAGAATCAAGAGTTAATGGTGGATCATGATTTCGGAGTGCGGTATCAAGATCAGATAATGATGTACCTGTTTTTAATTAAATAATACAATAAATTATTCTTATATGTTATCTTTATCATGAATAAATATTCAGTCAAACTTAATGATGGGCTAAATTGATTAGATTTTATTACTTGATATTATTTTATACTTTTTAATTTTTTTGCAAATTAATAAAATAACTTAAAATTCAGTATTTTATACAGTAAATGCTTTTTTTTTTTATTGTTTTTTAAATATAAGCCATCAGAACTTAGAGTATTTTGAGCATTTAGGGAGGTTTGACTACATATGCACCAACATTTACCTGCTTCGGCAGTAGCAACCCAGCCATATTTTGGAAGTTTTTTCACTGTAATCTGATTTAATTTGTTAACTACCACTAGATAGTTCTTTGTGACCGACAGAGAGCTTTCGGTATGTCCTTGGGCAGCGCATCGAATAGTTTTATTATTTGTCTTTGCTAGTTTTACAATATCTATAAGGTCTTTAAGCGTAGACGGTTCAAAAATGGCATTTGGTGAAATATAAACTGCACCATTCCAATTTACCCATGTTTTATTTGCAATCGGTTTTGCAGAACGAGTCACGAGATCTTTATTAATGCTAACCGCGACAGACTTATAAACAATCGAAATTAATAGGATTAGTAAAAAACTTAAAATGTGCTTCATGATCATTATAAGTAATCAAATAGGTGAGGTTAAAAATATATTAAAGTTGAAATGGTCTCTTAGCAATATCTAGAAACATTAAAAAAATCACAGCATGGACGAAATTATAGTTTGACCTATAGCATTATAGGATGAAATATAATGAATAATATCAAAATGGACTGTAACACAGTTTTTTGGGAAAAAAATATATTTAAAAATTTTGGAGTTTGGGTTTTATTAAATTTATTAAATATTTTTAATACGATAGTTTTATCTTTTTTTTTTTAGCCGAAATTACAACCCTTTATATAGGCAAAAAGTTCAGTCGGTTTACTTATAAAATTATTATGTAATTACAATCAAACGAAGATTGTCAAAATACCCCAATTAAATCGCAATTTTTGCTTTTACCATAAAATTTGCTACTGTATAATATAAGATTTTTGACTTTAAAATACTCAAAACAAAAAAGTTAATAGCATCCCACCTGCAGATCTAAAAAAAGATTCTATGACTTGTTCAAAATTTTTGCACTTATTGAACCGTTATTCCAGA